TTCACACTTCGTACTAACTAGAAAGCGTAAACTTGGATTCTCATGTGGGAAGAACACAAACTGCAATTTGCAGTGACTGTATTCAGATTCCAATATCGTAGCCTACTTGGCAGCTAGCAGTGGAATCCAGGAAGTGCGTCTCGTCCTTTCTGAGACTCGTCAGCTGAATGTACCTCCACTTCAGGGCTAGCCACCAAGAGAACTACAATATAATGAATATACGGATAGTACTGTGTCATTCGCATAGGAGCTCATCTGCCAACAGAGGTCAAGTAATTAGACCCAGTATATCAACGGGGAGTTACAAGTACCAATAAATAATTCCTATATTTTTTATAAAGTGCATACATACGCGTCTGTATAGGAATTCATTGTTATTGACTGTAATATGTGCACAAATTACCGATTTATTCACCTGTTAAACACACCGAATAACTCAGGTGTTCTTCGTGAGGTACATAGAAGTGACCACCTTATTGATGAACATCTTATCTCAAGTTGTTATTCATCGAAGACTGACATCAGTCGGAGGAACAAAGGAAACCTGGGAGCACTGGACAGCTGTTTCGTCCTAGTGTGGGACTCCTCAGCAGTGCGCACCCACGACCCCACCAGCAGGGATCGCACTGCTGAGGAGTCCCATACTAGGACGAAACAGCTGTCCAGTGCTCCCAGGTTTCCTTTGTTCCTCCAACTGATGTCAGTCTTCGATGAATAACAACTTGAAATATTTCCAAATCTCCACAACCCCCTCAAAATTTAACATCTTATCTGTTTGAATAGTCAGTACGATTTTTGTGAGCTTACATGCATTATGACTTACCAAGTCATTAAAGTCTTGGAGATGTTTATGAAACTGAAACAATACTTGTTCGTTAGAACAAGTCCAAACACACTTCAGTAACTAAACAGAATAATTCCAAAGAAGACAGCTTACAAGCTTCATAATATAAGGTAGATATATTTAGTGTTATTCCCAAAAACTCTGAGTGGTTGATGACAATTGTGCATTGACATATTTCTGTGTTAACGGTAGCCTGACAATATCCTGATACCCACCGACCTGCTCATTTTTAGGCAGGTATGCAGACTGTCGTACGAACTACCATAAACAACAGTATGTGAAAAGAATTGACAGGTAATAAACAGTAAAACCTCAATTTCTTGCTAAATAAATTATTAGTTTCATTTCATTTCTTGGCGTACAACAGATGTTCTTTTCTACGCACAGAGCCACCAATAGGAACGCATGAACTGTCTAATGCAGTCGTGTCGCTTGTATATCACTAACCGTCTAGTCACAGAAATAAAGTTGAAGAACAAGAATTCATATTCTGAAAATGATAGAAACAAAGGCTTCGAAATAAATACACCAAATTTTCAGGGACCAAACAAAATAAGCTAAAAATAGTTAATAAGTTTAGTCGAACTGTTGCTTTCAACCTGATTTGATAAACTTCAAGAGTAGTCTCAATTATCTGTAGAAGAAATGAAAGTCACAAAGTACATCATAGCTCCTTTTTCTATTTGAAGACGTTGATTTTAACACCAAAAGAAACAAAAGTTGGGCACAGCTGCGAAAGCCTAATACGGGAGAAAATAATTAGCCCTAGCACTCCATTGGTTTTCCGTAGCTCTTCAGTCAATAGACCTGATGATACTGATGCGAGGAATTAGAAATTTAGGATTGTGATATAACTTTTTTAAATGGCCTTCAAGTGTCTAGTGTACATGCATGGTTAAAATACTTAGGACAGTGAGCTTCTGATATTTACTTTGTGTAGTATTAATATGTCCTTCACAGACGTAGAATTTATGTATCCGTATTTTTTGTACACAATTCATTAAGTAAAACGCATACATACACAGTAATGGGTTGGTTACAACTGAAATAAGTAAGTGAATAACATACACTGGGTGTAATCAAGTCATCTATAGGTCATAAGCAGACATCACAAGTTAAAAGAGAAAATCGATAACCCAGCCATAGGTTTAGCCACCTACTTAAATAGTAGAGACCAACATAGGCCAACAGATTCCACTTGAAATGTCAGTTTGTGCATGAATGAATCACAGCGGGTACACACTAACATAAACACATAACAAACATACAGATACAGAGTCTCACGCAAATGGTAGATATAGGCACAGATACTATAGATAAAAGTTAAATATCGGTTACATACCTGACAGGCATCCACCATAATATATAGCGATTTTGGCATCCTAAGTAAGCAACTGAATGAGGATAGAAATTTGAACAAACATCGAAGTAAAAACGATTAGCGAGTGAAAAACGGCATGGTATTAGTCAAATTATTATTTTGACTATGTCATTATTATCGGTCAATTGGTAAAATGCATAAGCTAGGACAACTAACAGAATGTCGACTGGTGTCAGAAAACTTAAGAATTTGCTGTATGAACATGCTTCCACTTCAGTATGCATTCATGGGATCCTACATAGCTTTATCACTCTACAACTTTTGAGAAAGTAGCAAGTGAATAAATCCATTGGACACTGAACAGGTCGCGGCAGGATGCATAATTCACCGCTTCAATAATCACCCAGTTCACTAGTTGTCTATCATGAATCCAACCGAACACTTAAAATGTGGTTTATTCAACAACACTCGGGTACTCAAAGTGATAATTACTGTGATAAACTTAATCTGTTTCCCAGTGATTAGCATCAGGATCCCCAACGAGCGTTTCAACCCGTCCGGAACTCGTCAGACTGAAATATCACCGAGTGACGGTGTTCTCAGTAAAAGAAAAGTCATTACGTTATCTCAATCACGAGAACTACCTCATGTCAAAAGTGTGTTAGTTGTCCAGGTTTAGTAATTTCCCCCTGCTCCCTCGAATGAACTGAAGTGAGCATCCTGGATTTCATAAGTTCATCCCTTTAAAATAAAAAGGTTGGGAATTAGAAATTTTGAAGTGTGACAGACTGATAAATAAGGCCAGCAGTGGTATCCAGGACGCACATTCTGTCCTACTTGGGACTCAGCAGCTGGATGCGCCTGCCTACCGGTGAGTGATTTTGTTCCCACTGAAAATCGAGTTCATGTCTTCAAACTCCAAAGCGTTATAAAAACAGGCTACTGAGTCAAGATCATCACTCCTTGTGTGATGGGTATAACATCAGCGTGACAGATTCATACCACACCACACTGAAGTCATAGATGTTACAGCTCATGTTAGGCATCTTCATACATTGTCCTGTGTGCTAGAGTTCTCGTCAACAAACGGCTAAACACCCCCTTGTGTCAACAGCAATGCAGCCTGTATAAATACAGCAAAATCTAAGCCCAATTCACCTGGGATGAAACATTTGATGAAATAGATATAACTAGAAGTACTCACAAATATGATACATATCTTCGCAGGAAAACACTGGGTACTGAGCTGTATTAAAGTGATGGGAATTTCCGAAAGAGTTGGAGTAAAAACATCTAGATGAGCCGGTTGCACATGGTAAGTGCCGACAAACTATCGGAATAGAAATCTCCTTATTACACAAATGCCCACTTCCCAACACGTGTTCAAGGTCATTGATCAAATAACACGCAACTGTACAGCAGAGTGAATTAAAACAAGATCCAATATTCCAACTGCAATATTCATTACCGAGGTGAAGCGTATTTCGTTTCCTCAACTGGATATCATTTGCTCATAAGAAAAGTTCATTCTCCAAAATGAAAATTGTTTGAACTGTCAACTTTGAGCCTAAATAATTCTAAATATTTGTATGAATATCTAATCCATGAACAATGATGAACATGATTCATGAGAAGAACTATCAGTCTCCCTCTTTCTCCAATGATATAATGACAGAACAGAAAGAAAACGAACTTGAATATTATCTGTTGTCTTGTATTACTTTGAAACAATCCGAACACCATTAGTGAACATAAAATAAGGACAAATTAGTAATACTTATATGCATGTGGATATATGCATATGTATAAACGTCAAAGAAATTAAAGTAGCGCCAATTAAAATTCAAATGCTAATTGCTCAAAATGGAAGAAAGAAGAATCAATTATTGTTGTCGTTTTTAAGCAAAAACACTTGTGAATGAAAAATACAAAAACAGCAAGCATAAGCCAATCAGTAATTACTTTCCTTGTATAGAACGGTTTGTTCACCAACTTACTGCTTGTCTCGATTAACAATTTATGATTAAATGACCAAATGAAGTTGTAATAAATGTAGTTTAGAATATGGACTGATTGATGAAAAATTGGACCGCAAACGTGCAACATGTAGACACAGACACCAACGTAGTCATCAAACCAACAAGGTCAAATGTAACATTAAGTGTAGAGCTTATTCTGAAAGACAGCGGAGTATTAATAATATAATAACATTTAACATTCCCATTCATATTACAAAGAATTTACCATTCTTAAAAATACAATTGTATTACGAAAAGAATAAGCTAAAAATGGAGGCAGACAGTATTAAATCCTGCAAAATTGATAGTAAAAGTGCGCTTCACCTGTTAATCAAAAACTTATGTTAAAAAATAGAAATGAACCATAGTCTCATGTATTATATATATATATATATATATATATATATATATATATATATATATATATATATATATATATATATATATAATGTTAGCCAGTAACAGTAATGCAAAGAAAAGAAATCGATAATCTCAAATGGGACAAAACCACAACAGTGATAACCTAATTGAGAATTTATGTAAAAATAAGTACCTTTTGCGATAAGACAATCCCATTCCCTCAAGTTAGCGCTCAAGTGTAATAAATAGTATTGTAGACGTGGGAATTATCTTCGGATAAAATATCTGTTTGTTTTTTCTTGGGAGTTGGCAACTGCATAGGCGATGAAGAAGAGACCGAAGCAACAGTAGACGATAACATAAATCACTTCTCGATTACAAAAAACACCCTCAGGAAATTAATCGCTTGCACCAGTCAAACGATGAAATAAGCGTTCGTTAACTTCTTGACTTTTTTCTAAATTACGCTGACTGAGAAATACGTAACTCCAATAAACTCTACAATAGTCTTACAATTTGTTGATAATGGTCGAAATGATACTTGTGAACTACGAAATTCTAGGATTACTTTTTCTGCATCCCAATTAACATTCCATGAGCGTAAATCAGCAAAATTCCATGTCAACAAAATTTCACCGGTTTGCGGAGAGACAACTTCAATACGACCTTGACAGATAGCTATCATATCATCCATTGGAGTACTAAATAACCCCCCAGTGTTCACATTTGGTAATCCAGTGATCCACGTTCAAATTGTACGATAAAATAACTTCGGCCGAATCCAGCTAGCCTTTGCCATGTTTGGACATACTTGTGCTTGGCTTCTAGTAGCCCAAGGTCACGAATGTTCACATGAGCTTCAGTAATACGTTGGCGTAAAGCGTCCTTAGAACGTGCCTTCCGAATAATACGATCATTGCAAAAATCCATTAGATCACCCAAATAAGCTGAAGACTCTGAAAGTGACATAGCTGGTGACGGCCCAGCATTTGAAGTTTCAGTAATTCCAGTGTGGCTTCAACCTCTTTGTTATAAACTACCTTACTGGCCAGTGTTTTCCCTCGTGAACCTAGACGACATGCAGCCAACCAACAGGCATATTGTTCGGCAGAATCAAATTTTAACCATATTTCTTCACGAGTAGAGCAGAGTTCTTTAGGAAGTGTCGAAGGATGGGATGTATTATTGACAGGTGATCCGTTACTTATCTTCTGATCCAGTATTGAAGGGACTGATAGTTTAATTACATATTTCTGATGTGCAACATTCACGTCGGGATTAACCGTACAATCACGAAGTGAATACTCAGCCAGGAACTCTTGTGCTTGCGTCTTATTTCGATACAGGTATAATCGAGCTTCTCTGATGACAACCCAGTAGGCTTTGTAACGCTTCAGTAGGAGAGTACGATCTCTGAAAACTTTAATAGCACCCTCAAGACTTGGTACCTCAGAAGTGTCAGTCATATCACGACTGGCTGGATGCAATACATTCTGTAAAGTACGTGATACTGGTTCAGATTCATCAGTAACACCACAAGATTGTTCAAGCTCTGAAAGGAGTTCATCCACTTCGTCTACACCACACATAGTATGTGTGTTAGTCGATGCTCCGTCCACAAAAGCTGAACTAATTGGCGACACAGAAGTACGGGGGAACTGTGACACCGACCCACCAGCAGCACCGTAGTATGGCGAATAATGCTTTTTTGCCAAATCAGGACTCGAAGTAGCATGAACTGGACCGCGATTTATATAATTAGAACTTACTGTACTGCAAGCACCTAAGGTTGAATAAGGATTTGTACTATTCATATCTGGGAAGTTCGTAACACATAAAGCCTGATTGACAGCCGAGATTGCAATTCAGCCTGCAATTGATATGCGGCAAAAACAACCATTTCATCCTCTGTACAATCAAACTGGCCTGATAAAAGAGACCAGCGAGCCTGTTCATAAAGTTGATGAATTCGTACTGCATCATACTTTAAAATTAGATCGTAGAATGTGTAATACTTGAAGCAAAGATACAAAGTCGGAGGATTACACGTATCATGACCATCGACTTCGGAAGGTGATGGTTTAATCCCCTGTTCTAGAAGTGATCTTGATGAATCTAACCACCCACTGTTAAGACGCGCTTTTTGAACTAAATTCTTAGGCTTCATCAACCAGTTATCAGCAAACACCGCTTTTGCTGAACGTCTTAGTGAACAGTCGGCATAACGAGCAAAGTCCAGGCGTTCTTGTTCTAAGGAGTTGTCAGATTTAAACCGCATCATTGTACCGGCATTTGAAGCTAAAGTGTTATACGGATTCATTTGCTGCCCATCCATGGTTGGATAGACTGACGACAGAGGAGAGTGAATTTTAGGCTTAGCAGTTGATTGATCACTTCTTGAATTGGATAAATTTGTACCTGGACGTCTTAATCCTGGGCGAATAGACGGTAGTGGACAGTTTGTCTTAAGCATATTCTTGGTAACAGGAAGTGTTAAAGATAACTCTCTGAATGACGAATATTTAGTTCCTTACATATATCACGAACAACCGTAAATAGTCGCGCGGCATAATTGACACGAAGTACAAGAGAAGTTAAGGAAGGCAATATAATTTGAATATCATTGTGCATACGACGGAACATTAACTTTGCATCCGATTGGATCCCATATTGATCGAGAGTTTGTTCGACTGTGCAGAAGCCAGATATTTCTATCGATCCACCATATGGCATGATCGGACCAACTTTGTTGCAATTTGGCTTTTTCAACAATCTTGTGCATCAAGCCACCTAGGGGCAGATCACCTAATACGCGTACAGAAACATTCGAAGCCAAGTCTTCTACATAAACAGATAATTCCCACGATCCATCTATGTAATTTCCATCAACAACCATACGACTGATGGTTTCTGTTCCATTGAAGACATGAGTACCTCCATTGTGAACACTAAATGGGTCATAGGCAGACATAGATTAGAGATAATCCACAAATCCTGTCATAAACGCGTGTAGAAATATGCTAATAGAACAGAGAATATGTATATTCTTAGGTTGAATGACACCATTGCTGTCTTTACAACTCAGCCTAAACGCCTACGTGATACGTCATCTACTATTGGCCAGAGTTGGTCTGACTACAGTGCTTGAGAGAGACATGTAGGCGAACAGTACAAGACAAAGCTAAACACACAATTTAGCTGATACAAGGTGATTATCAACCAATCAGCAAATAATTCACATGATCAAACACCCACTCTCATCGTTTTCTTTTTCTCACCCTATGGACCAACCAGAAATGACAACCGTGTCAGTAGTATTGTTTCATCGCCACGTTATTTTCATCTTCGTGTTTTTGGCAGTGATTCTTACGTAAAGTACTTTTAGTCTACTAGCTTTTTCTACACAGGTTTTTACAAATTAAACAGTCATAAAATCGAATAAGGGACTCTTGGATCTATTATCTTCCCAGACATAGGGTCTAAAATGCTTCTAGTTGTGTTAAACTTAGAAGTAAATACCTATTGTCAATGCTCTTTTTTAAGCAAATGATGACTAACGTCTTAAGCGTGTGTAGACAAGTGGTGAAGTGATGATCATATGGAAATTAAGCAGTGGCTCTAAATGGTCACTCAAACAACTATTAAAATAATCAGTTGCGCTTCTTCACTTGACAAAAATATCCACTTTAGCAAAACGAACGGGACGTAACTGGCCGTTTTAGCCGTTGCTAGGGCATATATATATATATATATATATATATATATATATATATATATATATATATATATATATTTTCAAGCATTTAGTTTCATGTAACCAATCCGCATCATTGTGCCGTATGAATTATGGGAACAAACTGACAGTAATGTTGAGAAGTATTCAGGTAGTGTTATTCCTCCTTATTCATCATCAAAATATCTGACTTTGAGGCTGATTAATGCAAGTCCCAATAACCGAAGGAGCATCATTCTCCTCAGGAATGGAGATCATAAATTATGGACAACAAAGTATGTCCACAACTAAATTTTAAGGGAGTTGTGGAGATTTGGAATTATTTCAAGTTGTTATTCATCGTATGTCCACAACGTTATCCAGTGAACAGTAGCGTTTCACTGTGTGACATTTCTAATAAACGAACTAAAATGGAATATAAAGTTTACTGACGAGTGCCAACAATTACTAAATTTAGATAAACGAAGACTTCAAGCTGGTTGACTCGTAACATAAGGCACTAAAATGCAAAGTACCACAATTTCATGTTACTTCGTTCAGTGGTAACATTACAATATATATATATATATATATTAGTCCCTTGGGTTCCTAGTGGAACATAGGGCTTCAGTAGCACGCCTCCAGTGACCTCTGTTCTCCGAGATCTTTTGAACCTGGTCCCACGACAGCCCACAACCTCTCATTTCCTCCTCGCACGACCTCCTCCATGTCACCCTCGGACGTCCAACTCGTCGCTTCCCATGGGGATTCCACTCGAGGGCCTGACGCGTGATGTCCTCAGTCGGCCTTCTCAGTCCATGGCCAATCCATCTCCACTTCCTCCTGCATATTTGTTGCGTGATAGGTTCTTGGTTGGTTCGTCGCCAGAGTTCCTTGTTGCTTATTCTTTCTGGCCATCTGATCTCCAGTAGCGAGCCAGCTAGGCAGTTGTTGATGAATGTCTGTAGTTTATTGGAAATGCCTTTCGTGACGCGCCAAGTCTCTGAACCATACAGGAGCACTGACTTGACGTTGGTGTTGAAAATCCGTATCTTGTTCCGCATGCTGAGTGCACAAGATCTCCACACTGGTTTAAGGCCAATGAACGCCTGTCTTGCTTTTCCGATTCTGACTTTGACGTCCTCGTCCGTCCCGCCTGTAGTTGAAACAGTGCTTCCTAGATAGGTGAAGAAGGTTACTTCCTTTAAGTTTCTCCCGTTGACGGTGATTGGAGTTTGTTGTTGTTGTTGATGGTGGTGGTGCGGTATCTTCATCACTTCTGTCTTCTCTATATTCACCTGAAGTCCCGTCTTAGCTGCCTCTTCTATCAACTTGTTAGTTTTTGCCTGCAGATCTTCAAGTTTGTGTGACATTAGGCACAAGTCATCGGCGAAATCCAAGTCTTCTAGGTTCTTTTCCTCGATCCAGTCAGCGTATCCCCCTCTTCTCGCTGCCTACTGTTTGCTGCATGATCCAGTCCACCACAATAAGGAATATCATGGGGGATAGTAGGCAACCTTGTTTCACTCCTGTCTTCACTTCAAAGGCATCACTGAGCTTCCCATTGTGAATTACTTGGCATGTGGCATCTTCATATAGTTGTTGAATGAGGCGGATAAAGGTTTGCGGTACTCCGTAGTATTGAAGCAGTTTCCAAATTACTTCTCGGTCGACGCTGTCAAAGGCCTTCTCAAAGTCGATGAAGTTGAGGTAGAGAGCTGATTGCCATTCTATGCTCTGTTCTATGATGATGCGTAGCGTTGCAATTTGGTCTGCACATGATTTGTACTTCCTGAATCCAGCCTGTTCGGGTCGTAGTTTTGAATCCAGTGCGTCTTTAAGCCTCTCTAGGATGATGCGGCTTAATATTTTACTTGGGGTGGACAGGAGAGTGATTCCGCGCCAGTTCTTGCAAGCACTGAGGTCTCCCTTCTTCGGCAGTTTGACAAGGTAACCCTTCTTCCAATCGTCAGGTACCTTCTCTTCCTTCCACACCTTCTGCAATAGTGGTGTGAGCATGTCCGCTGTTGTCTCTGCATCTGTTCTCAGTGCTTCTGGCGGTATTCCATCTGGTCCTGCTGCTTTCCCGCATTTCAGTAGCTTTATGGCGTTCAGGACTTCCATTTTCGTTGGGGGATTAATGTTCACTTGTAATTCAGCGGCTGCAGGTGGTATTTCTGGACGAAGTGCAGGTGGTGGTCGATTCAAGAGCTTCTTGAAGTGGTCGGCCCATCGTTTCCTCTGTTTCTCTTCTTTTGTAATTAAATTTCCTTCTTCATCTTTTATTGGTTTCATCTGTGTTGGTCTCTTCCCTGATAGCAACCTGGTTATTTGATACAATGTCGTCAGGTCTCTCTCTCCTACCTGCAGCCTGTTCTGCTTCACTTGCCAGTGTTTCGTAGAAGTGTCTTTTGTCTTTGCGTGCACTCTTCTTCACTTCTTTGTCCAGTGTTTTATACATTGTGCTCAGTTCCTCTTGTCGTTGAGCATCCTTGCACTGGTTTATCTTCTGCTTCACCATCCTCCTCTCATCCTCTATCAGCTTCCAGGTATCCGTCGAGATCCATTCCTTGTCTTCTTCTTCTTCCTTCCTAATACTGTTGTGCAGGTTTCTTTCCACATAGCTTTCAAAGACTTCCAGTGTTCTTCCACACAGGTTTCTTCAGGGATGTTGCTCGATGTCTCCCATTTTGTCTTGATGGCTGCCTTGAAGATCTCCTTTGTAGTTTCATCCTTCAGTTTCCGAGTGTTGTACTTGAATTGAGGTCTATCACCAGCTTCCTTGAAGGCTTTTAACTTGATTTGGAAGGTTCCTTGCACTAGATAGTGGTCTGAACCTACATCTGCTCCTCTTCTTGACCTTGTGTTAAGTAGACTGCGTCTCCATTTTCTTGAGATTGAGATAAAGTCGATTTGATTTTTAGTGTGTCCATCTGGTGAAGTCCATGTCGCTTTGTGGATATCTTTGTGCCTGAACACACTGCCTCCAATCACCAAATCGTTGAATGCACAGAATTCTGCAAACAATTCTCCATTCTCATTCATTTCACCTAGCGCCTCTCGACCCATGGTTAGTTCTCTTCCCGTGTTGTCCCCTCCCAGTTTGGCATTCATGTCGCCCATCAGAATTTTGATATCGCCAACTGACGTCTTGTCCAGTGTTGATTGAAGTTGTCTGTAGAAATCCTCCTTTTTCTCTTGCTCTGCATTATTTGTAGGTGCATAACATTGTATGATTGTGACCTTTCTTCCTTTTGAGTTGAATCTTGCTGTCATGATCCTGGAGGAGATTGGTTCCCACTGCATGAGAGCCTTCGATGCTCTTGAGGACATCATGATAGCCACTCCCTCAGTGTGCTCGTGGTTGGCGTCTGGGTGACAATGGGAGTAGATTATTGATTCTCCAGTTGACAGTTTGGAGAGTCCACTCCCATTCCATCTGCTTTCGCAAATCCCAAGCACTTCGATGTGATACCTTCTCATCTCCTTTGCAATCTGGGCTGCCTTACTGGGTTCAAACATCGTGCGGACATTCCATGTCCCCACGTTTACTTTCGCTTTCATCGAGAGAAGAGAAGACACATCGGCCAATTGGCTTCCCGAAGGCTTTCACCAACTGGCGTCATTTCGCCTCTCCGATTCCAGCGGGGAATAAGTTTGTTTTCATTTTTTATATTTTGTTTGTGCTTTGAAGTTTCTTTAGCGGTTAGATTTGTTTTACGGGGTAGGGTTGCTAGCCCTATGCCCAACCTTCCCTCTTTACCCGGGCTTAGGACCGGCTAGTAACTAGTAAACTAGTTAACCAGGCGAGGTTGGTAACATTACAAACTTGATCTATAAACTTTCAAGAGTTCTGAGGAATTAGGACTTTACAGCTCTATCAGTTTTACCACCGGTAACCGTTTTGTATAGA